CCTGACCCAGCTCCTCACTTTTGTCCTTGGCTCAGTTTGCCAAAGACAATTTCTGATAGACCTTTTGCTAACAGATTCACTGTGTTAGGGAGATATATAATAGGAAGGCCTTATTGAAAGAATGTGCAATGAATACATTATAATGTATAATGAATATATTAAAATAGTGTCAAAACTGATGTCAAAATGTGACTTAAGAAAAGTCTTATTATAATTAGCAGTCATTTTTCTGGAAAAGTAATAAAGTTTATTCCTACTGGGAGAAGCAAAAGCCTAAAAGTTAATGAGCAACAACTGCTATTTTAGGGGAATAGCTGTGATAGATTATTGCCTGCATGATTATTCATTACTAGATTTGTGATTTTAATTGCCAAATTTTAATGATTATAAAATTGTTCCTAATGAATCATGTCATTATTATTTAGACAGTATCATCTCTTGGGAAACATAAAAACTCAGGAAAAACTTCAAAAACATTAACAAAATGTACTCCTTAGGGGGGTCAGTTTCACAAATGGGCTGCAGTTTTTCCTTGCAGAATATGAAAATCCTAAGCTTTCCAATTCAGTTTTAGGAGGCACATGAGCTCTTTTCAAGGTTTAAAGAGTTCAGGACAGCCGGGTGTGGTGGTTCACCCCTATAATGCCAGCTACTCAAGAGGCTGAGGCAGGAGGATCACTTTAGAGCAGGAGTTCAAGGCTGCCGGGAGCTATGATTGTGCCACTCACTCCAGCCTGGGCCACCAAGTGAGACTCTGTTTCAATCAATCAATCAATACAATTTTTTAAAAAGAGTTCAGGATAGTAATATTAGCAAGTTAAGACCAAATGTACAGTTTAGCAGAAATTTAGTGAGTGTCCATTGTATCCCAGGACTGATTTAAGTTCAGTAACACACGATTTATTAAATGTTTTCCGCTATCGATCACAAAGCCATTTCTGATACATATTGAACCACAGTAATCACAAATCCCAGGATTTATTCCAAAATCCCTAACTAAAGGGCTGAATAGCCTACCTCCAAGCATCAACAAAAGAATCAAGATTTACTAATTTGAAGAGGTATAACTAGTTTTCCTGAGAAGCAGTATAGTTAATGGAATGGCTTTGGATAAAGACAGTTTTGGATTTATACTGCAACTCTGTTCTACATTATGTGACATTGGGCAAGTTACTTAATATTTCTAGACTTCAGTTTCCCCTCATAAAATGGGGATAATAGTATCTGCCTTTTAGGATTATTTAAGCTTAAAAATAAATTTATAGTAGGTACTTGACTACTAGTATCTATTACTGTATTAATTACTGCTATTACAACATACAAAAATCAGTGGAAAGAAGTTAGAGTGGTAGGTTCCTTAAAAACACTTTGAAATCAGAGATCCACACTTCCTTATCCGAAACTCTCGGAGCCAGATGTGTTTCAAAATTTAGAATTATTTCCAATTTTAGAAAAGTAGTATGACACATTCTATAACATTATGAACCCCTAGGAGACCTGGGGCAACATTCCATACTCAAATATATTAATATCTCAGCCTCATGTTGATTTAGTTCAGATTTTGTTGCCAAATGTATTGAGGTTAGAACACATTTTGCCACTGAGTTATTTAAACACCTTCGGGTTTTTGAATTGTTATAATAATAGATTATGCACCTATATAATGTAGTTCAAAAGAAAAACAATAGTTATCTTACAGCTTCCAAACATATCTAATTGCATGATCCCACGATAGAGCTCTATAAAAACAACAATAATAGAAATAGCAGCAGATACAATTTTACTAAGCACTTACTATACAACTAGCACTGTGCCAAGTACTGTGTACAGATTATCACATTCAACACTAAAAACAACCCTGAAGTAGGTATTTCAGATTGAGTATCCCTTATCTGAAATGCTTGGGACCAGAAATGTTTTGGATTATTTCAGATTTTGGAATATTTGCATTATACTTATCAGCTGAGTATCTCTAATTCAAAAATCTGAAATCCAAAATGCTCCAATGAACATTTCCTTTGAGCATGATATTTAAGCATTATGCCAGTGTTCTAAAGGTTTGGAATTTCAGGCTGTGTACGGTGGCTCACACCTGTAATCCTAGCCCTTTGGGAGGCCAAAGGAGGAGGATCACTTGAGGCCCGGAGTTCAAGACCAGCCTGGGCAACATAGCAAGACCCCACCCATTTCTAAAAAAAGAAAAAAATTAGCTGCATGTGGGGGCGTGTGCCTGTAGTCCCAGTTACTCAGGAGGCTGAGGCAGGAAGATTGTTTGAGTCTAGGAGTTCAAGGTTGTGGTGAACTATGATCATACCACTGCACTCTAGCCTGGAATTGTGGAGTACTTTGGATTTCGGATATTGAAGATAGGGATGCTCAACCTTTATTGCTATTTTCATCTTACACATAAGGTAAATAGCTTGTCTAAAACATTTAACATGAATCTTCTTAAGTCTTTAGACTTAATTTCTGGTTTACAAGAAATACATGGGAGAGGAAAACAAGCTAAACTATAATGGTGAAAGAGCAAGACAAATCCAGAATGTGGGGCATTTT